TACATGAATACATGAATACATGAATACATGAATACATGAATACATGAATGAATGTGTGTGGATCTTTACATCCATGTGTAAGGGTGAAGGGTGTCAGCAGGGTAAGGGAACCCCACACTTTGTAAAAACAAATCAAGAACCTAAGAAACAAGTGGGATGGGGAGGGGAAATCAGTCAAGTGAAGACAGAGCACATTCAGTAGCTCAGTTGTAGGTATCAAACAGAAAACCAAGGAGGAAAGAGATGGAATGGAATATCTCAGAAGAGGGGTCTGCTGGCCAGCAGGAACTCAGATCAAGAGCACTCAACCTTTTATTGTTGGGAAAAGTTCAACTTTGCATGACCTTGATGGTGTTATTTACTTCTTGACACTAAGTTGATTGATAAAACTTTCTCCATCTCTGACATTGGGCCCCTTCTTTCTGTTTATGGTCCTTTGTTGCTTGCCTTATCTTCCCTGATGGTGCAGGCATGGCAACTTCCTCCATGCCAGAAACTCCATTTCTATTCTTTTTCTTTCGATTGTAACTGCAGCTAATAACTGTGAGTAAACTTCACTTCTTTCTTCTAAAGATACATCTAAACTGATCATTTCGCTACAAAACAGAGAGTCAGAGTGTCCTAACAGAAAGAGATGAGACTGTGCTAATCTCTCCATGCTTCCATGTTTTCTTTTGCCTTGTGTTGTGCTAATAAAAGGAATAATGATGTCTCTAATATAAAGCTTTTTTTAAACAAAAAACCCCCACAGTATTTATTGCAAGTCCTACACACACACCTTGTACATAAATATTGCTTAGTTTCTTTTGATGCCTGGAAGGCAGTCATTTGTGAAATTCTGGTGGTTGCAGAGAGATTACAACTGGTCAAAGACTATGATCCTATACTTTCAATTCCAGGGACTTCCATATGTACAAACTAGATGTTCTTCTGTACCTGAAGTCCAATACAAGGTGTCGTGAGTGTTACTGCCACCTCTGAATGCTGACAGGATTGCCTCTTCCTGTTCTCCATCACTGAACTCCATTACTCAGAGGGCAAGACATGGCTTCGTTCTGACAAACCATCTCTTACCTCATGGCAGCCTTGAAAATACTCTCCCCCCCCCATGGGCAAAGGAGAGGGGTCCAAGGAGGAAACCCAGATTCCAAGCCACAGCCATCAGTTCATGTTGGAAGAGCAGAGTCAGACCTGGAAAACTGGCTCCACCTCTTGTTACCATCACGTGGTGGCTTGAGATGGAGGATGTGGGGCAGGGAAGGCCCTAACAATCATGATAACAGTTTTAAGCTTCATTGCTTCAGGATTCCCCCAGAGGGCAATGTGTTTTGCTTCATGTCAGATTACGGTTTCTGGGTTGGTGCTATGGGGTGCTCCTGCATCTTCTGTGGACTTAACATTTCCAGATTCCTGGTCTGAGAGCCCCACTGAACAACACTGAGCAACCATCAGGCGCGGGGGGGGGCAGCATGAAATAGCTTCAAGAGGCACTATTTTCCAAAGAGGAGAATAAAGAATCCAAAAAGGTAACATTTTAACCTGTGTCAAATGCAGCTGTAAAAAAAGAGGAAGTGATCTGGATTCAAGTCCCTCCTCAACCGCGATAACTCACTGGGTGGACACGGTAGAACAGGCAAAACCACACGTTAAGTATCTCACATCTCTTGAAAACTGTATTAGGCTCACTTTAAGTCAGAGGCAACTTGACAGCACAGGACACATGCAATGCACCAAGAACTCTGAGGCACTCCCCATGTCCCGCATTCCGCCATACAAGCTACCCCTGGGGGGTGGTGGAGGTGGAATGCAGCCAACCTGGGAGAGTAAGCCCGTTGCTCAAGAATTTTGGAAATGCCTTGGATGACAGGATGTGGCATGGAGGAGAGAGCCCTCTTTGTCATCCTTGCTGCCAATAACCCCATTGGGGATCTTGCTTGTGATTAACAATAATAATAATGCTAACAGACCAAGAGGCATCTGTGTCATTATTATCTGAGCACTTGACAGCTCAGAGTACTGCCGAGAGGAAAAAGTGAGCCTGGGGAACAGGAAGGGCTGACACACACAGAAAAAAGCAGCCACCACAAGGAAGACACTGAATTCATTTGCTCCCCATGCATGGCGGCTGCGGCTGCCTCTGCACATGCTCTGCTTCCTCTGCATAACTATTGTCTCTCTTCCTTTGTCTCTTACTAACAGCAACTTGTGGCCCCTGAGGTACAGATGGACTGAAACTCCTTTTGGGCCTCACATAGTCAATAGTGAGGGAGAATGAGAGTTGACATCCCAAAACATCTGGAAGGCCAAATATTCTCCATCCCTGTTCTCTACACACACAAACGTATGCATTCATAGCATGTGCACACATTCATACATGCACATGCCCCTAGTCACTATTGCTGGGTGCAGAGCCTAGAGGATGAGGAGGGCTTCCCTGTCCCCAAGATCAGGACTACCTTTAGGCTTCTATTATAATTTTCATGGTTCAAAATCAATTTCAGTGTCAGGCTTCAAGGGCACAGCACCAAATCATCTTCATGGCTGAGCAGGGATCTGAATCCAGTCTCCTTCTCTAAACCAGGGTTACTGATTACCCCATATTGTTTGGAATACTAGTCATCAGTCAAGGAATTGTGTAATACCTGCACTGAAATTACCTCACACAGTTCCTCACAAAGTAACTTGCTCAAAGACTCGTTTTTGTATGAATGAATGGAAAGCGGGTATATTTGCATCCCCTAAATAGATATTGTACATTTTTTTCTGCTTTTGCCAGCCATGAACTGGAATGAAGAGTGATAGCAAGCCCTGGACTCCTGGACACTGCAAATCTTGTTCCCACCCTCTTGCTGTGACTGCCAAGGCACTCCAAAGGTTTCCCAGTGACTACTCACACACAGGCAAGCCTGCCTTTTCCTTGTTAAGGACTAACTTTCATTGCTGTTGAAGAAAAGGACACAAAGGTAGAGCTTTGTAGATGTAGACCTAATGTGCCATATTCAATGCACAGAACACACACAGCCCTTACTTTGGGTCCCAAGATGTTGAAGACATTGCTTTTAGAGGGTGGGCAGATTTAGGTTTTTGGACTATAACTTCCAAAGTTCTCTGTGCAGCATGAGACTTGTAGTCCAAAAATACAAAACTGCACACCTCTAATCATTTCTTCCTTGAAACTATTTATAACCAAGGGAGCAGGTGCAGCCAACAAATTAACCTGCAGTGCCACTACTCCGGGGGGGGGGGCACACCACAAAATGGCAAACAAAAAAGCTGTGGGAAGACATGGCCCTAGATTGCTCTCTCTAGCATATGTGGGTGTTGTGGTTTTCAAGCCACTGAGCCCATCCAATTGGAAAGGGCTTGCTCAGCGTGGGCAGGACATCCTTTCTCCACCTCTGTCCACCCACAACACCTGCACCCTTTGCTGTATGTACACATCACAGGAAATCGGGAGGCATCCAGTGTTTTTCCAGGTACATTATCAGCACCAGACAGACTGAGATGGCTGCAGGACCCTTCCAGTCCTGTTATGGATTATGTGAGCTTCATTTCTTCCTCTTTCTCATGGTCCTGTGCGGTAAGTAATATGAAGGGTCTCTGGACCCTTCCTCTTTTGATACCTCTCCTCCATTATCCAGCATCTGCCACCCTCTCTCTTCACTCATCTCCCTTGCTGGCTCTCTTAATCTGCTTTCAAAGGCTTTCCCATAGTTTTCTTCCAGCTAATTTGGCTCCTTCTCTCTCTTCAGATTTTTTGGCCAGCGACTCTGTGGCCGTGAGGGTGACGCAGGAGCCACTGTTTGCCAGCAACTCACAAGAGAAAACCCAGACCTTCCATTGTTCCATTGATGGCGAAAACTACAATTTTTATTGGTATCGCCAGCTGCCAGGGGAGGCAGAGCTACAAGTTGTTGGGAGTCTTTACACTCACAATACTGAACTGCAAGATGTCGGCTCCACCTGGAGCGGACGACTGACTGGTCAGTGGGTAGACACTAAGAGGGCAATGACCCTGCACCTTACAAGTCTCCATCCAGATGACACAGGGTTGTATCTGTGTGCTGCAAGGGACACAGAGAGTGAGGCAGGAAGTGAGGTTGCTGCAAAACCAAGTGTCAGGAACAGAGACCTCACAGCTGCTTTTCTTTGTACAGTTGAGAAGACAGGTCTGGAGAGACTGCGGTCTAACCTTCCTTTGACATCGGCCTAGGTGCTGTTGAGAAGCCATATTGACATGCATCGGCATTCTCCGCATCACAGGAGGTCTCCCGAAGCCATTGTTTTCTGTTCACTGGCCTGCTCAATAAGAACAGCTTCACTCTTGCACTGCCCGTGCCAGGAAGATGCTCTGCCTCCACTGACATTCTATCTTTAGCAGTGGCCAGTGAGCCTCAGGAATCAGGTCAGTCCGCAACACCCACCTACGGCCTTTGATTTTGCATCTCCTGACAAGTGGAAGGAATGGTCTTGTCTTAAAAGTGCTGCATTTTAAATATGAAAAGAGATTAATGTCCCTTCTGTGGGGTTCTCTCTCTCCCAGCCCATTCATGAATGCAGTCCACCAGTTGATGCTGCTGTCACCAAGCAATGAATGCCACACGTGTGAACCATTCTGAACAGCCAAACCTCCACCTTCAGTGGTCTTCGGATGACTTAGACCTACACATTAGAGACTTCCGCCTTCCTGGCCCCTGCCTTCCATTTCTCCCCTGTTAGAAACACAGCAAGCTACTGTTACTTAGCCTTAGTCCTGCTATCTGTGTTATTAGGGATAATGAAGCTGACTTGCTTAACAGAACTGTTGCATAGAGCAGTGGTTCTTAACCTTGGGTGACTCAGGTGTTTTTGGACTGCAACTCCCAGAAGCCTTCGCTACCAGCTGTGCTGGCTGGGGTTTCTGGGAGTTGCAGTTCAAAAACACCTGAGTCACCCAAGATTAAGAACCACTGGCATAGAGAATAACTGCACAACCCCTGGTGCTCTTTGAGCACTAGAAAACACAGGTAGACAGAACTCAGGGAAAAATAACTTTTTGGACTACTGGTTTCAGAATCCACCAGCTAACATAGGCCACAAGCATGATAGCTGAGGTTTCTGGAGGTTGCAGTCCAAAAAAGTAACTTTTCCAGGTGCCATGTATAAATAAGAACTGTTACGGGTACTACCACATTCATTTGCTAGATTTCTACCTATGCGGGCAAAGGTGTTCACAGGCTGAATTAACACCTTGCAGTTTAACAGGTATTGTACACATGGTTCCAGGAAGGAAGAGGGAAGCTGGCAGATTCAAATCCCATTGGCTCATTGGGGAGACAGTTGTGGGAGAAGAGGTACCAAATTGTAACTCAGTCCACCTGAGACAGTAGATGAAGGGGCTTTGCTGCTACACTGATCACCAATTCATCCAGGGGAAGGAGAGATTGATAAAGATGTAGGAGGAGATGATAGGGAAAAGATCTCCCTAGGCTAGGGAGTTAAAAGCCTTAACAGCAGGGGGCAAACTGGATACACACAACTTACCGTATTTCTGTCATGCCAAGCAACTTTATACAGGGACAAAATTACCTACAGTTGTGGGCTCAGGGAGCACCATCCTATCTCCAGGCTTTCCTTATGTATGAGACAGGGGTGGTAGAATTACATTAATGGATTGGCCCCACTCCTCTGACCACATGTTGGGCAGAATATATGAAAGGTCTGTAGGCAATCACAACCACGTGTATGTAGACCCACAGTCTGCAATCAGGAAACCCAGTACACCATCCAGTCTTCCAATGGTATTTAATCCATATTTACAAGTGTGGGAAGAGATGGGGGTGGGGAGTTCTGCCCTGTTCATCATGAAGGAACATGGGGCTTAACTGGGATTTACACCTGCACTGGACTTTTAAAAGTTGTTTTTCTAAACTTTTAAAGTATGGGGCAGGGAAAAATCCCTGAGAAAGCTTCCCTTGTAAAGTGACCGCATATGTCTGGTTTTTAAACCTAAAACATAATTGAATGCATTCAATTCAAGAGACTCTGACCTTTGAAATGAATGTCATCATTTCTCTCCTAAGACTTATTAAAAGTTTTTTTAATCCATTTCTTGTCTGAACTTCTTTTCTGCAAAATAAAATAAAATTGGTGGAAGAATTGGCAACGAAGAGGGTTACCTGCGAAATAACAGAAAAGTGTCCAATAGGGAAGCTCTGATCATGGGAGAAACCATACCTTGGGAGAGGATAAAATAATACAGAAAGTCATGGATTTTTTCATTGTTTAAAATGAGGCAAGATGAAGAGAAAAAGGCTGAAATATCACAGACAAAGCAGGTACAAAATGGAGAATAAACTCTCTGTTTGGATGGGCCTTATGTCTGTCTGGAACCCTTTCTTCTATTATTCATGGTGCAGGGAGATCTGAGAGAGTCAAGTGGATACAGGAAGATCCAGGGTCAGAGCTAGTAACTTCTGACTCATTCTCCTTTAAGCAACAGGATGGGAAGGAGTGAGAGAGAGAAGAGGTTCTGAGGCCAGCCACTGAACTTCGTTCCCAAACAGGGACTGAAATCTGAGTCTCTTAAATCCAGCCTGTTGCCTCATTCTGCACATTTTCCACACTGTGCTGAAAAATACTAGATTTTGCAACCTGTATAAATTATGGAAACCAGGTACATTGGCAGACCTTTACTGAGTATGGCTAATTCATTCCGTTTTTGCTGACAGCAACAAGGTGTGAAAAGCCACACAGATTCCAGAGCCCAGATGACCTCCTGGAAGTCTTCTTGTGCATGTCCCTTTCGTCAAAGCCTTTGGAAACCTCACAAGAGTTGTCCACACTTTTCTAATCCTATCTTTGCAGTCCTATGGATTAGACCATTGAAGTTCCTGCTGTTGTTCAAAATAACAAGTTATCAGAGATTTGGGATATGTCTCGCCCTTCCCCTTCCAAAGCCTGTGCCCAAATAAGGGGCACACAATGCTTCCCCCAGCCCATTCTCTGCTCTTTTGGAGATATTGTGGCTCAATCTTGTCTGAGCTAGTATTTGTGTTTTTCTGGATCTCGGGGGGGGGGGAATATTCCCCGAAACAGGAGAATGCAATTGCACTTGGCCCTAAAGCCTTACGAGGGCAGAGTTACAGCCTTCTGGCCAAGACATTAGCAATCTGCAGGGCTGGGTGCTCTGTTTTATTTCCCTCATTTTTCCCTACAGTTACCAAGGGAGAAACCCTGATCTCAGGAGTGAGCAGAGCAGCTTCCTAAGGCAGCCATAGGGAAGGGAGTGAGTAAGGGAATTTAAAAGGGCAATGGGCACCGTCCTCTCTGATTCCTTCTTAAAAGGCCAATACAGGGATCCTCCTTCTCTTTTGCATGAGCTGGAATTTCATTTCATTCTATTTCCTTCCACATCTTCCATCCATCAGCACTGCAAAGAGAAAATCAAACCTGGTTTGTAGAGAAATCAAAATAGAAACAACCACCCAGCACTTCCTCTTCCTTTTCTATCCTTTTTTTCTCCCTCCTTTTCTCTCTTCTACCTTGCCCACTCCTCTCAGAGATTCTCTGAACAGAGGAATCTGTGCATAGTGTTGAACTCCATATTTGAGTTATATCTTGGCAGAACCATAAATGACACTCAGCCCTTTGTCCAGGTTTTTGGAGGAACATCTGGAATGGAGAATGACATATTTTGGAACTATTTATACCCAAGTAAGCAGGTGCAGCTGACAACCAACCAATCACTTTCTGGTGGCCCCTTTCCAAGTGCCAGAAACCCAACACAGGAAGGAATGCAAGAGGTGAGGAAGCATGCCATGAGGATCCTAAGTCTGATTCAAGGTCTGCTGTGTTCCTTCCGCTGAGCCTCTCACATGGATAAAATGCGTGCTGGTGCCTCAACGTGGGCAGCACTTCCTGGTGACTTCTCCTCCACCCACCCACAACACCCACACATTTGTTACACATCCACTGCACAGGAAATCAAGAGGTTTCCGGCTTCTTTCCAGCTGCTATGTTAGCACCAGAATGATTAAAATGGCTGCAGAACACACACCATGCTACTATGAATTATCAAAACTCCAATGTTATCTCTCCCTCATTGTCATCTCGGGTGGTAAGTGACCTAAAGGGAGTCTGGGACAACTCTCCCATCTTTTGAGAATCCTCTTTCCTTGGTTGAGTCTCACTCTTTCCCCTTCTCTCACGAATCTCCCTTGACTTCTTCTGTTTCCAGTCTTCTTCAGAGTTTTTTTTCTCCAGGCTTCCCAACTGACTTGGTTGTCCTTCTTCCCTCAGCTTTCCTGGTCAGTGACACAGTGACAGTGACACAGGAACCAATGTTTTCCAGCATCTTGCAAGAGGGGGACCTGATAGTCAACTGTTCCCACTCTGAGAACTCAAATTACAACTTCTTCTGGTATCGCCAGGTGCCTGGGAAGGTAAAGCTACAAGCGTTGGGAACGCTTTTTTCCCACTCTGACCAGCTGGAGGAGGAGACAGGTGCATCCCTAAACATGCGTCTGAGAGGAGAATGGATGCACAAGGGACAGAGAATGAGACTGCATTTCAAAGGTCTCCAGCAGAACGATGTAGGGCTGTATCTCTGTGCTGTGAGGGACACAGTGAAAGAAACAGGAAGTGGGGCTGATGCAAAACTGAGTGCCAGGAACAGATGCTCCCTAAATCGCTTCATGAGCCACAGAGAAGAAGCTCTCCCAACCCATTAACGTGGAGAGGGGCATCTCCCTCAACTTGTGGGCCCACCCATTGACACCACAAAGAAAAACATATTTGACAGCAAAAATGCTGTATCTCACTAAGGCACGATTTACTATCTGTCTTGCTTCTCTGCTTTTGCTCCATTTTTACACATGGGCTCCTTTTGTTTGTTTCTTTTTCAGTACGCTCACCTCCCACTTAAAGAGGGTAGGTGAGATGGCGTAAAGACGTAAGAGTTTTCATTCTCCGGTTTTTAATCCATGATGCCCTGTCCATGGTTCACACACAGCTTCACAAACGTTTGCTGTACCAGTAGCCAAGCTGGTCAGTTGATACAGGTAGCTAGTAAACAGTTTTACCAAGATAATAATGACTAACAATGACAAAGTTCTGGATTTCCAATGTGTTCAAAATCCTAAATGGTAGCAGTGGGGAAAAAGCATATTGAGAGCAACATGAAGTAGCTAGATGGCAGGAAATATCCACACATCTTTATTCTCCCCCATCACTGGACCAAGAGAAGCGTTGTAATGGATTGTAAAAGGACTGACTGGTGGGGTAAAACAGCCAGGGCTTTCTGACCAGCAGAGATCTTGCCCTAGACAGCCCTCTCAGGCTAGCTTGTTCCTTCTGAGCTTTGCCACAATCCTCAGATTCGCTGGAAAGTAAAGTTAGATTTTTCACAGCAATCATATTTTGTTTGAGCTATCCCTGGTGCACTGCAAGGGATTTTGGGTTGATTTGTTCTTCAATAGGCAGTTAAAATCCATTCTTTTTATAAAAGATCTTGTCCTGCTGGCCCAGCCTGCACGAGCTGGTTTGTTGCTATGGGGCAACCCGGCGGTCTACATTTTTGGACCTTCTGTAGGGGTGCAGCTGGGGAGGCCATTGCAAAAGGCTATCTGCAATTCAGAATTTACCACCATCTAGTGAAAAAGCACAATTTCCCAATTCTGGATTTTCAACACCCCAAAATTATATTGTACACCCATCCATAGCATGGCTGCTAAAGCCCCAGTCCCATACATAGATATACCAGGTACCTGAGAGAGATTATTCACACCTATGTAGAGACAGCAAAAACATCCTGCTAGAAATTAAATATTCAAGAATATTTCATTAGATGTATCCATCCTCTGCATACACAAAGCAGTTGTTATGCTGGTATACACACATGTTCCAGAAACTCTTTGCCCATTCAAGGCCAGGAAATGCACCCTTACTCACAGTCTGCACAGTGGCCAGACCACCTGATGTGCATCCTTACCTAGCTCTGACATTCACAGATGTCTGACATTCACGTTCAGTGTTGAAATCCACCTCTTTCATCCAGGAATTTGAGAAGTCACCCATGAGTGAATAACCATAGCACTGAGAAATTAAGAAGTGTGGCTTTTGGGACAAACGGACAGTGAGGTGTTTTTTTTTTTCATTCATGCCAGTGACATGTATTTATCCTTATTTATTATTTCAGTTTGCATACTGCCCCATAGTGAGCACACTCTCTGGACATCCTATCAAAGCATGGGGGAAATTGCAATGTAATAAAACGCAATGCTATAATAATGGCTGCAACACTATGCGCACACTCTCTGGACATCCTATCAAATTCCAATGTAATAAAACACAATGCTATAATAATGGCTGCAACACTATGTAAAATACTTGGGAATAAGTCCTATGACATGCGATGCATTGGACTGGGTTGTGTGCCTTGACTTCTGCACTCTTCAGTTTTGGGACTCTGTAAGCCCATCCTATTGACTCCTGCTGTGGTGGGGTGGTCGCGGGGGAGAAGGCGAAGAATGCTGAGGGGAAAGGAACACCAGAGACAGCTAGTAAAGTGAGGTGCGTGCGGAGGTCCGACACTTGAGATTTTGGAGTGAGGTTGTGCTCTGGTCCATGGGGTCACGAAGAGTCGGACACGACTAAACGACTAAACAACAACAATGACGTGTGCGCAGCATGCACATGCACAGCCCACTCCGCAAGCTGCCTCAACCAACTTGCCATAAAAGGTCCAAGACTGTGCCACAAAACACACCTCTTCTGAACATGTCAACAATCATGACTCATCGTGCACATCCCACTCCGCAAGCTGCCCCAACCAACTTGCCATGAAAGGCCCAAGACTGTGCCACAAAACACACCTGTTCTGAACATGTCAACAATCATGACTCATCCCTGCTGCAGAAGACAGGAACAGTTTAGAAATTATTGCAGGAAAGAGAGGGAGACCCTGGCTGGAATCCAGAAGCCCCGCTTTCTAACTTAGGGTTGGACTCGATGGCCCTTCAAGCTCAATGGTTCTATGACTCTATTATTCAGACGGGCATTTGTCCTGCTGTTTGGTGCATTGGGTTCGCTTTCTAACTTAGGGTTGGACTCGATGACCCTTCAAACTCAATGGTTCTATGATTCTATTATTCAGACAGGCATTTGTCCTGCTGTTTGGTGCATTGGGAACCACAGATGGGTTTCTTCTAAAGCAGATCTAAAGCAGATCCACTTGCCCCCCAGAACACTGCACCTTTTTGAGTCCCAGCCATGGGCTTCTACTTTTAGGGTGCTGGTTGGGGCACCCTAGTTTAGTTCATCCCCAGCATGGGCAATCACTGGAAGTGAACTAAAGCTGCCGAGGCTTCTTCTGCTGTCAATACCCAATATTCTGAAAGGGCTTAGTAAGTGAGCCACTTTAGGATATCAGCCAATTGAACGTTCCCCCTGCTCCTCTGTGGAGGGGTAGGGGAAGGGAAACTATTCTTTTTCTCTGCTAGCCTATTGCTGTTGTGTTAAATCTTTCAAGTGAAATTAAAAAAAATATCTTAGTCTTTGTGTGAAGTGTCGATTGAAACTGGCTGTAGACAGTTTCTCAACTGGCAGTACAAACAAGGTAAAGATTTTTTTTAATTTAATCTAAGTAATTCAGTGCATCCACACAAGCTTAATGCAGGCAAATGTAATAATTTCACTTCTGATTGGATGGATTAGTGAGGTATCCAGCAATGGGGGGCCTTTTCTCAGCGCCTTCCCCTGACAGCTCTCCAAGCCGTTTGCTCTCTTCCCACATTGTGCATCCCCTTGCTCAGCATGCACACAGAGAGACATACACAGAGACACACAGCAGTCTGAGGGGGGAATCCACTCAGCTCCTTTTGGCTGAGTGGGGGGTTTCCTCCCCCTCCTCCTTGCTCTTGTCCTGCTTGTCTTCCCTCCCTCCCTTTTTCCACCCCTTTCTTCCTCTCCTGATGCAGAGGGAGAGAGGAGGCTCCATGGCTGGCTGGCTTGCCCTCATCACTTTCTTTCTGGCTCCCTTTCACAGCAGAGGAGCAGTTCCTTGACAACTTTCTGATGCTGATCCCTTTTTGTTGTTCTTCTTAAATGTCTCCTACCCTCATTTTCTTCCCCTTTCAACTGACAGTGTCCAATTGAAAGGGAAAGTGTTCAATTAATACTTGACAATGGAAACATATCACTCCTCCCCCCACACCTCAGGTGACCCTAATCAGATTGCACCAGCTTGCACCTAAAGAACCAGTAGCTATGTGCCCTTACCTTACTTTTCATGCCTCACCCCCCCACACACAACCACCCAACCACTATCCCTTGAAGAACAGTAGCTGAGGCAGCTCTATCGAAAGGAAGCGGCCCAAACCAATTCTGCCTTCCTGCCCTCTTGAAGATTCAAGTGTGGCTTCCAACGGACACGCCCAGAGGTTTGATTGCAACTGCCATCTGGAGACAGTCAGAGAGTCATGTGGGCCAAACCACGGTTCTGAATGCAATGATGGCTGCCTTGGAATGTATATACTCAAAATACAGTGAAAGGACCTCTGAGTATGTATGTACACAGCTTAGTTCATCACTCAGTCACACACACACACACACACCAAAGAATAATCACATCCAGCTTGCAAATTTGTAAGACCATAGAGAAAGGATTCAGGTGAGGGGCCGAGGCTTTCAAACAAGCATGGACATCTAAGTATCATTAATTTGAACAAATTAACAGGTTTGAGAAAAAGGCAGGATACCTCTCAGCCATCTGAAATACTGTTCGTATCACCACCGTCCGCCGCCGCCACCCCGCCCACCCCTTCAGCTTCTTGTCTTGGAAGGAGAGGTGAGTGGCTTCAATAATTGTACTCTGCTGCATAATTCAGCATTTGCTAGCCACAAAGAGAAGTAAAGAGTGATGCAAGCTCTTAAGAAAACCTGGGCTCATCCTCCTCCCCAGGAACCTTGGAGAGCCACATATTTTCAGCCCTGTGCTTGCAGTCCTAAAGGCTAGAAATGTGTGGGTTTTTTATTTAAAAAAAAAAAACCAAATATCAGACAGTCCTAGAAAAGAAAAAACAATTGTGCTCAATATCAGCTTCCATATTTGTTCAATGTGTGGCTCAAAACACAGAACACGTTCTGTAGCCCTTGATCTAAGGGCCAAAGTTTCTAGTGAAGCATCAGGAGTGGAGAATAATAGTGAAACTATTTATAGCCAGGGAAGCAGGTGCAGCCAACCTCCAAAGGCCTCTTTCAGAAGAAGGAGAAACCCATGACAAAAAAGGAAAGCAAAAGAGAGGGGGAGGAGGACATTGTGCAAGGGCACCTCTCTCTAAGCCCATGTTCTGCTCTGGTCTTCCTGCTAGAAGAAAACCAGCAGAGAAGAGCCTGCTAGTGCCTTCGGGTGAGTAGCACGGGATGTTGTCTCCTCCTACATCCATCCACAACACCTGCATCTTTGGTGCATAACTATCACCACAAATCCAGAGGCTTTCAATTGATTTTCAGTTGATGTATCCGCACCAGACTGAGATGGCTGCAGAACGCCGTCATTAGGGTCTTTGAGCTCTGCTCCCTTCTTTCTCTGATTGTCCTCTGGTGTGGTAAGTATTTTGATAGGAACAGGGGCCAGCTTTTAGGAGAAAGGAGATAGAATTGGCCTGGGCTGTTGCTGTCCTTAGGTGTCCCTATTTCCTCCTATGTGAAAGGAATCCATGGAGCCTCTTCCTCATCAGCCTCTCCTGGTTCCATTAACCCACTGTCTCTAGAGTTTTCTCCTGCTGTCCCAGCTACCTTGGTTCTTCCTCTCCTTCAGCTTTACTGGACAATGACTCCGCCATTGTTGTGACCCAGGAACCACTGCTTGGGAGCTACTTGCAAGAGAAGGACCTTATTTGATCCTATTCAGGGGATTCCAACTACTATTTCTACTGGTACTGTATAGTCAGATCTCTGGGGAAATGGATCTGCAACACTTTGGGACCCTCAAGTCTTTTCAGGCTCAGTTGTCTGAGGTTTTGGATGCCACCCAGATGAGTAGGAAACGGCTAGATACTGACAAGAAGAGAATGAGCCTGCATCTTAATGGTCTACAGCTGCACGAAACCGGGTTGTATCTGTGTGCTGCAATGGACACAGTGCGTGAGGCAGGAAGTGGTACAAAACTGTTTGCCAGGAGCAGACACCTTGCAAGTCCTTTTATGTGCTGCTTAGAAGATATATTTGCAGAAACTATGATGCACTTGCCTTCCTGAAATATTCTTAGAGACACTCTCTGCCCTTCCCAGGTCCTATTGAGAAGACACATTGACACACATCAACTTTTCCCACCCTGGAGGCACCTTGAAGCCATAGGCCAAAATCCTATTCCTTAGCATAGTAAATTGCACTCCTGTAAGCCCACTGAATCAATGGGAAATTGGTGAGTGAACTCCTTCATAAGTTCTATTGATCCAAATGAGCCTACTCTAACTGTGATTGACTTTAGAATAGTAAGTCACAGTTAAAGTAGGCCTATTTGAATTAGTGGAGCTTATTCATCCAATCCCCAGTGATTTGATTGGTTTATTGTAGTGCAGTTTACTACACTAATCAACAAGATTTTGACCACTTTCTTCTATTCACTGGCTAGCTCAACAAAAATAACTGTACTCGTATGCTGCCAGCTCTGTCCAGTGGCTCTAACACACTATTCAATCCACGGCACAGCCAAAAATTACTACATTCTGCATAATTTCATAACTCACAGTGGGTTAAACTGTAAATTGTCCCAAAAGCATTGCAGCTGTGGTCATGGAAAGGGGAATACCATCATTTTTCTATTGTCTTTGATATGTAATGGTCTTCCGAGAGGATCTTCCCAGACCTTCTTCATAAGAGAGTTCCGAGGTCAATAGTGGTTTGTCAGAGCTGATCACAGGGAGGGGTTTGTGCACTTGGGCAAATTGTCTTGCTCCTGCTCTCCTATCCTCAGATCAACTTGAGACATTTTCTGCCTAAGGTAGGGCAGCAATGACACCTCCCACTCCCCTAAGTCAAGAGGCACTGCACCCAAAATACAAATAAATGCTACGTGTGTAAACTGCATTTTTGTTCATTTTAAGGTGACTACAGTTTGTAATCTTGGTCAGCAACATGTTAGCATATCAATTTGTGCATTTTGCATTCATGCTACACTCTTGTTTCTGTTTTCTTTCTCTTTGACTTGCATCCAAAACCAAGCAATTTATTCTTGCTGATACAGCAAAATTTCTTATAAACACCTCTCTTCCCCACCCCCACCCCCAAACTGCATATCTAGCAGTGATCCTGGCTAACAAAAATGCTGACATCTCCCAATACTTACCCACATATTTTCAAACCCACCTTTGCAATCCCCAGGACTAAAAACACCGCTGTCAAAAATAGCATGAATGTGGAGATTATCCAAATTCAGAAAGCTATGATGTAGGCTAAATTGCATGCTTGTGCAATAGGATGGCTTGTTATGGATTGTCAAGTTTCTTCCCACTTATGGCAACCTTAGTAGAATTTTCAACGTATGCACAATGTTCAAGGAGTGGGTTATCATTGACGTCATCCCCTGATGAGATGCTGCCATGACCAAGTGGGGGTTTGAACCCAGGTCTCCTGAATCCTAGGCTGACACTCTATCCATTACATATAATACAAGCAGGCAGAGGAGTCAAGTGTTCTGGAAAATTGCCCAGTGTAAAGTATCTTCTTCTAAACTATTCAGAACTCAAGAAGGAAGCATCACCAACTCACTGTGTTCCAATCCCTGCATTTAAAGGAGACAGAAATGAGGAGAGAAAGAACAAAAGGGGGAGATGCTCCACTAGAACCTCCATCTCTTGCTTGGCCGCTTCTCCTTTCTGAGCTCCTCCAACCAGGAAGAGTTTACTGTTGCTTCAGCGTGGGCAGTGCAGGCTGCTGTCTCCTCCTACATCCAGACACAACACCTGCATCTGTGGTGTACACAGAGCACAGGAAATCTCCAGTCTTCTAGCTTATTTCCAGTTGCTGCTTCACCACCGCACTGAGATGGCTGCAGCGCCTACCTCTGGAGTATTTGAACTCCACCACTTCCTCCTCTCACTCATAGCCCTCTGCTATGGTACGTGTTTTTGTATCAGTGGGACACAAAGGATGAGGGTTTGGGTCATTGCTGTCCTCTGATACTCCTGTTTCCTCTGCTTTGTCCCACAGATGCACCTTCTCTCTCTCTCTCTCTCTCCTGCTTGCAGACGTACCCTCTCTCTCTCTCTCTCTCTCTCTCTCTCCCTCTCTCTCTCATCTTCCTTGGCTCCCGTCAGCAGCAGTACCTGGGTCTTCCCTCCAGGCTTCCCGATTGACTTGACTTTTTCTGTTGCCCTAGTTTTCCTGGTTAGTGATTCTGCCACTGTGACGGTGACACAGGAACCTCCCTTCTCCAGCTTCTCACAAGGGCAGAGTTTTAACTTCACCTGCTCACATTCATCAACCTCAAGCTACGATTTATACTGGTATCGCCAGCTGCCCAGAAAGACAGAGCTACAACACCTTGGAACTTTGGCGTATTATGCACAGGAATGGAAGAACGAGTTCAACCACAACCCACCAAACTGGCTGAGCGGGGGATGGCTGGACAACAGCAAGAAGGCAATGCGTCTCCATCTTGAAGGTCTCCAGCTGGATGACACAGGGCTGTACCTGTGTCTTGCACACGACACAGTGATTGAGGCAGGAAATGGGGCTGGTACAAAACTGAGTGTCAGGAACAGACATACACTTCTGGACTCTTTCAGTGGCTGCAAATGACTCCCCCCCCACGTCAGAAACATTCAGTATCATTTCCTACAAACTGTGGGCAGGACCAGTACACTGCTGCCCGGCTGCCCTGGATGGGGAAGGAACCCTATTTTTATTATTATTATTATTATTTTAATCTATATCATACTCAGACGGGTGTAATGTGTTATTGTGTCTTTATCTATTTTTTCTTATCAGAGCATTGCACAATTGAAAATTACAGATTTCTATGAAATACAGATTAAAATGCAAGCCACTTTAAATGCCAAAATGATTAGACTATTTTTGACCAGAAACAGGTTAGCTACTTCAATAATGTTATCTCCGCCATTTGCTGGGCCATCTTTAATGCACATGGTGGGGTGTAAATGGCATGCACATGAGTCCTGCATTGATTGACTTTCTCCACAGTCACAGAAAATTGGTCCTGTATCCAAGTAGCCCCATTTTACTTGATTATTCTGTGATCTTCCTATTTTGCTTTGAAGTCTATTAAGTGGCTTCCAGATGCTCCAGCTAGAATCTTGTCCTAGTGGGAGACACGCTTCAGCATTCATCCATTTTTGCTCTCCATAGATTTAGCCTAGTTTCTTCTGATATAATATTTAGAGCCTAAGAAATGTGCAGAAAACTTTTCCTCCATTTTAACCATCAGCCTGAGGTTTGGTGTCCATGAAACGGGTGGATTTGGTACTGTATTACCTTATTTTGTCCATTATTTGCTAGCATAAGCATCACACTGTTACAGTGGCATACCCTATGCATACAAATTACCCTGCACAACTTTAGCCTCTATGTCTGGAAATATTCCTGCAGAGATCCTTGCACTGCAACCCTAATCTTCACCAGGCCAGGGCAGACGGCTCCCCCAGCCCACTCCTTGCACTGTCCAGGGACCTATTGAAAGTCATGGGCCAGTTGTGGATGAGGTCCAAAGCTGATATTCACCAGGGGCAGCTTTTCTTCCCCATCACACACTTCCCCTCCCCTTTTTTGTTTGTTTGTTTGTTTGTTTGTTTCTCTTCCGTCACCCTGCCCAGTGCAGCACTCAGCTGCCTGCCCTGGAGGGAAACATACCACATGTGCTGAAAGACTGAGTTTATTACCTGTGGGATATGAGATGGGAGTTACCAGACCGACCTGCTGGGGTTGGGCAGAGAGACAGGTTAGGGAAAGCTGGGATGGACCCTCCCTTGGAAAACCACTACCGTGAGTCAAAACATACTTTCTGCCAGCCCTTTATTATCATCACCCATGATATCTTGTGAAGGCAAGAGAAGGGGACGTCAGAGGATGAGATGGTTGGACAGTGTCATCAAAGCTACCAACATGACTTTGACCCAATTCCAGGAGGCAGTGGAAGACAGGAGGGCCTGGCCTGCTCTGGTCCATGGGGTCGCAAAGAGTCAGACACGACTTAATGACTACACAACATGATACCTAGTGGCTCGCTAGCATTTCAGGCAGGACTTTTTCCAGCCCCATTTGGAGATGCTTGGGATTGAATCTGGGACTCACAGTTGGCCAAGCACATGCTCCAACACTGGCATGCGGGGCCACCTTTCCCTTTTCCCTCCTTTCAAGCCAGCATGGAAGAGATGAGGCCCATTTGTTTCCACCTGATGACTGCACAGCATCCTTAGCATCTCATTTCAGTGGGGCAGTGGAAGTTATGAGTGTACAAATCAGGTCAGAGATGGAAAAAGCTACTTAACCTCTTAAATAACCCTGAGCCGGGGTGTCCTAGAAGTTGTATTAAAAAAAAAAAAAACGCTTTTACTCTTTCTGGATCTTACTAGTAAAACCATTCTTCCACATAGGCACAGCTGAGCAGAGTGCAAGCTTTTGCAGAACTTCCAAGTTTTTTAAGCCTTTTAATGAAACAAGGGGGGTGGAAAGGAGGCAGTGCAAGGAAAACTAGAGGTAGCAAAGACTGGAGGCACCTCTCTGCGCAGATGCTACAGATGTGAAGCCATTCGCTCTGCAATGTAAAGTGGCACATGAACATTCTTTTCCTATGAGGTTCAGTCCAGGGCTGGTCCTCCTGACCACCCACGTGATCTGAGAAAAAGGGGCACCTCAACCCACTCCCTGAAGCCAAGCAGCAAACCACACACACCTCTTTCAGCTTGAAGGTGCTTAGTACCTAGACAGCCAAATTACTTTAGCACCAGAGGCAGAAAATACCACAGACACTTCTCTCCCTTCCAGGCACTCAAGATAAAATCACAACAAATTAATTAAATTACCTCAAAGCTTAGGATGCTGAGGGACTGTTGCCTGAGGCCACTGCCTCACTTTCCCAAACAGTAGGGACAGCCTCTGTTCTTCCTGCATCAGTAGATTTTTTTTTCGTCCAAATGAGTTCGTAGATCTGCTTAGCCTGTCAGAAGTAATCCCAGCTTATATGTACTTAGGGACTGGCTTCTGGGAAGTGAAGTTCTGTGGGTGGCTAAAAGGTGGTGTATTTGAACTCCAGTGTGGTGCAATAATGTATTGGGCTGGGACTTTAAAAACAAATCAGGATCGAGATCCCCCCACTGGCTGAAGGAAGACCAGTCACTCTCTTTCAACCAGACCTACCTCTCCGGGTTGTTGTGAGGGGGCGGAGGAGACCCATATGCGCGGCTCTGAGCTCATTGGAGGAAAGGCGGACTATAAATGTAACCAACAGACAGATAGGTAGGGTCAGGTCCCCACCAGAAAGTCTAGCGGGAGTTTCAGCAAAGGGACGCAGCACCGTGATCAGCTGGGGGCAGCCACCGTGGTACAGATGGCGCGGGCGCCTTTGCATCAACCCCGCGGCTCCCTTTCCGCTCCCTGCTCGTGGAAGGAAGGAGACCGACCTCGGCGAGGCCGGTTCTCTGAACTGCTCCGCGAAGCAGCCGATCTCCTCCGTCCTGGGCACCCCGAACGGGCCCGATCCTGGCGTGGGCACGACAGAGAGCCTTCGCGTATGAGATGGAAAGAGGCAAGAGAGGCAAGAGGGGGAAGGAAAGGGTCCATCCGGCCGCCAAGAGGCTAGTCCTTGGCGTCTTTCGGACAGTTCCGTTGTTTCCCACGGTCGCCCCGGTCCTTGGCGTTCACGTCCTCGCCCAGAGACCCTCCCAAGCGGCGGAGGGCAGGAGGCGGACCGCAGGGGCCAGCCTTCGGAGCGCGGTTAGTCGACGGCGAGGAGAGGTGGGGGAGAGTATTTGTCTTGCCTGTTCTGGCTGTGTCAGTGGGACCACGATGATACAAAGCATAACTAATACTCCGGGGCGAGGAAAGGGGGGGAGGAGGCTTTTGGTTAGAGAGACTCCTGTGGGGTCTCGGCCGGGGAAGGAGGGCTTTCCGGCAGTGCTCCCTGCCTGCCCGCCTGCCCAGCGAAGGACTCTTTTCTCCTCCGCAGCGCCCGGTTGGAAAGTTCTAGCGGCTCCTGACTGACCGGCTCGGCTGCGGAAGGCCAGCTGGGCTCCGATCCCGGCGGCGCTGGAGGAAGGGGCCGGGGTGGGTGGGAAGGGGGCTGTGATCCCCGGGGTCAACCCGAAAGATCAGGCTCACCGTGCGGGTTCAGCGCCCGCAAGAGGACCCCCGGCCTGATGGTGCCAAACCCCCTTCCCACGGGGGTCAACAGTGCCCCTCCCGGAGGGAAGCTCTCTCTTCCCTGCCTCCTTCTCTCCTCCTGCCCAGATCCCGCTTGACGACCGTCGGTTCAGTCCCGTTACATGTGAAGTAAAACGGCGAGGGGGTGAGAAAGCGAAGGCACGCGTTGTTTGCTGACCCGCGCCCGCTTTTGGCGTCCCATTCTTAAGGATTTCTTCCTTTTAAAAAAGTATCCGTCCCTGCAGGGTTGTCAGCGGCAAGGGCTGAGGCGCCCCCTGTTGGCATCGACTGCAGCAGAGCTGCCGGAACCGGGGAAAAGCAGGGCGCGTTTATTGCAGAAAAAGAGAGAAACAGGTGGAACAAACCCTGAGGATGGGGTACAGGTGGCGCACCAGATGCCCTTGGATTCCAGTTCCCATCATTCCTCACCATTATCTGTGGCCCAACACATTTTGCTGCCTGAGACAGAGTGGCAAAGAGGCACAGTGCCATCTGTAGTTCCCACAAACAGCCATTGTTTTGGCAACTGAGACAGAAAATCACACAAATCACACTGTCCATCTCCCTGGCACGAAAGATACATCAATAATGAAACCATAACTCATTGTCCAATATATTTGCCTAATGGTAGGGCCAGGCCAGTACTTGCTCAGAGTTATATATTCTGTCCTGCAGTATCCATACAATCCGTCCCAGCCACATCTTCAAATCAAAGGTAATTTTCTCTAGTAAGAAACCTTTCCCTTGAGGCAACATTTGAAACTGTTATTGGCTACCTAATTTTTGACTGCAACCAATGTCAACATGCATACAGGCATGTATTGCAATGTTCACAATTATTTGTAGGTCCAAAATTATAAAGAAAATTATTCAACGAAGCCTACCACACAACAACAGAAAGAAAGAGTTTTGAAAGTTATTTTCTCCCTCAAGGTAGGGGAAGCAGATTATTGCTGTTACAGTAACAAAATGTCAAAATGTTCAAATATGAACACATTTAATTTCCATATTAAGAAATCATGTGGTTAAAAATACACGTTGCCATTTTTCAACCTGGCACTTAGACTCCAGCATTGTCAGTTTCAGTTGCCCAAGGTCCTTTTTAACATCATTAAAAGGTTAATGGCAATGGCAACGATGCTAATGATATCCTTTCAAGATACAAAATATCTGCTACAAACACCTAGGAAGGTCCTTTTTTATATTTCATCTTTGCAACCCGTGATCTGGTGCAAAGTGAAGCAGTGGCATCTCTCTCAGGAATCTTTCTGGATGTAATTGGAGAGAATTTTAATCACTGGTTAAGTCTTTGATAGATTAATCACATTAGCTTAACTGAAGTTAGTTGTAGATCATTAATGGCATGCATGTTGATGGAGCGTGCCTCTCAGTCCTAACATAATGTCCTCAAAGTAGGGTTTTAGGGCATTGTGGGGCTCCCAAATGTAGCAGGTCTGGCTTATCCCATTTTGAACTAAGTGGAGTAATACTGTATACAGTACATTACCATCTAATGAGCTCCAATCTCCCATAAAACCATTAATCCAGAGCCTGAAATTTCTAATCATGCCCCTGTCTGTCAGTGAGTTCCAGTCATTTCGAGGTGAGAAGGCTGGGGCTCATGTCCACATAATGTTCAAAACATTAAAAGAAACTCATTGTGTTACTTGTGATATCTAGGCAGCCAGGTTATCCTTACTGAATGTACAAACAGTCCAAATTCACAGTATTGATAGGTTGCAGTATCCTCTTACAAGCCAGAACAATACAGAGAAATGTTCTCCAGTGCTCTCTGATGACTAGTTCTGATATTGCACTTTGGAAATGTAAAAAGAATACAGTATTTCCTTCACCACTGACGATTGGCTAGAACATCAAACCTGAAAAATTCCTGTCAAAATGTATAAGTGCCTTAAAATAATCTTAAAAACTAACTCTTGAAAGTTAGGAGGTGCATGCTTCATTTAAGTAACTTAAGTGTTACTAGTTAGTTTTGCGCTGTCAAGTAGAAACCGATGTATAGAAACCCTAACAGGGCCTTCAAAGTGAGAAATTTAAGGAGTGTTTTTACCAGTTCTTCTCCCCGGTGAATTTCCATGGCCACGTGGGGATGTGAACCCAGGCCACTGAATCCTAGTCTATTACTCTGAGCACTACACTACACTACACTGGCTCTTATTAGTTACCCAAAATTTAACTAGTTACAAGTAATGTGGCTTCCACTCTATAGAAAGCTCCATCAAGTTTATGAAGATTACTTTGAATAAACATGTTTTTTACATTTATATCCCTCCTTCCCTTCAATGAACACAAGATGATCTACAAGACTCTTCTTTTTCCCACTTTATAATAAAAACAATCCTATTGGGCAAGTTATGTTGAGAGAGCTTATGGTAGTCCAAGGTCTCCCCATGAGTTTCATGATCAATTGGGGAGAGCTAAACTGCAGTGGCGGAGTCCAATCCAAAATCCGATCCAATGCATTGGTCCTCCTGGTCTGAAGAAGGTGACTTCATCTTTTGCTGTTGTTTAGTCATCAAGTCGTGTCTGACTCTTCATGACCCCATGGACCAGAACAGGACAGGCCCTCCTGTCTTCCACTGCCTCCCAGAGTTGGGTCAAATTCATGTTGGTAGCTTTATTTACACTGTCCAACCATCTCGTCCTCTGACATCCCCTTCCCCTCTTGCCTTCACATTTTCCCACACTTTCATCTACACATGTTGAAATGTATGCATCTAAAGCAGTGGTGTCCAACCTTGGCCCTCCAGATGTTCTTGGACTTCAACTCCCAGAAATCCTGGCCAGCAGAGGTGGTGGTGAAGGCTTCTGGGAGCTGTAGTCTAAGAACATCTGGAGGGCCAAGGTTGAAATGTATGCATCTAAAGGGTTGTCAGTGAGATCTTCATGCTAAACAGACCAATCTCATCCCAGAGACACATGGGGCTGAATTTAGAAGATCTGCATTGTCTACATTAGAATCAACAACAATCAACAACCAACTACATTAGGTAGCAACAACAATCTGGAGTCATCACATGCACACAGACATAGAAACACACACACAAACACACACACAGTGTGTGGATCAACTCATCAACTCAGTAGTATAAGGTAGCAACAACAATCTGGAGTCATCACATGCACACCAGACATAGAAACACACAAACACGCACACACAGAGAGAGAGTGTGTGTCTTGGGTATAGCTACAACCTTTTCCTTCATATTACACTAACTGTAGCACAGCTCCTCATAATCATCTGACTGCTGATAAGCAAGATCTCTATGTAGTCAGCAAGTATGCAATTGCCAAATGTAAATGTAAAAAGTCAATGTAATTGCCACCCACCTTTCTCACTTGATCTTCCTCTCGCCACTATACACTCTGTGTATCTAAACCTGTGGCCCAGCTATCAAATTCCATGTATCTGAGGATCGTCACCCACAAAAGCTCATGCTGAAATAATTCATGACACTCTGGAAGGTGCCACATTTGTTTTTGTTTACATTTTGCACACAGAAATACACTAGCACAACTTCCTCCCTGAAATTTTCTTTCCTCCAAGAAACCCAATGGTAGACTACCTTGTCTGTGCCTTCCCATTTTTATGCTTACAATCCCATGAAATAACTTAGGCTGAGAAACAACCATTGGCCTCATAACACCCAGGAAACTTCTTGGCCAAATAGGGATTTGAAGCCAGGTATCCCCAGTTTTAACCTAATGAATCACACTATTATCAAACCCTGCTTGCCCATTGGAGGAAACCCATCTCCATCTTTTGCTCTCACTGTGGAAACGTGTGAAACCACAAGGCACAGGATGTGTGAGCTGGAACACTGGAACAAAATAAATAAGAAACATGCACTGCATGTTTCCAACCACAAAGAACATTTTGGAAAGATCAGAGATCCAGTTTCTGTCAACAGAAGGAAGGTTGGGGCTAAGCTTTGCAGGAGAAAATTATCTGACTGAAAGGAACCACATGGGCTCACTGACTTAAGATCTGGTTCCCACTCGTAAACAAGGTAAGAGTGGCCAAATATAACCAGGATGGGCTCCTGCACCCTTAATAGTTCTTATGCAAACTGCACCTCCTGAAATCCCCTCTTTTGAACAGTTATTTTAAAGTTTCGGGAACCCTGCCCTTTCGTATGTGGCCACCAAAGTGGGTGGGGGTGAGATGCCCTTCCTTTTAAAGCTGACATTGTCCTTTCTCTTCTTTTGTATTTCCCAGTGCTTGTCAGAATCTGAGATAGAAAAAAGATGCCCAGGTGATCCCTTAGGACCGCCCATGTGGCTACAGGGAGAATAGCAATAGAATAGCAAGGAAAGATCCTGAATTCTCATCCCTGGCTTTAGCTAAGCAATGAGGCCGAAGATCACAATCTCCTCAGTTTTTAAACTGGCTCATTATTTATCCTTATAGTTTCAAAAGGGACTGT